TGCATTAATATCTTTTTCGGGGGGGAAGCAGCTCCGGCAATTAATGGATCAAGTGCAGATGCTGCAAATCCAAGTGGATTTCCAGATGGAAATCCCAAATACCTTCCAGAATCAGTGATTTCAGGCAAACAGGCTACTAAGCTGATAGAAGGCTGCAGTTTTATTTAAGGAATTATCAAACACCTGGAATCTTATCATTTTCAAGATCCTGTCTCACACCCTGACACCTTTCCAGAGTCACCGAAACTCCCCTCTCAGCAGTGGTGCCCAACGTAATCCCTGCATTATTCCCCAGAATTCCAACATTCTGTACCATAGATACAGCAGACAAAGCTGGATATACCCCCAAACTCAATGTGCAGATGACAAGTTTATAGACAAAACCACCAGGAAAAGAATCCCAGAGTATTCCAAGCTGGAAGGGACCCACGAGGATCAGAGTCCAACTGCTGGAGCGGTTTAAAGTGCCAGAGGAGAGAACTCTTTGCAAAGGCAAATAGGGCAAGCAAGGAACAGATCTCCCTTGCCCCTAATTCACATGGAAAACATGGAACACAGGGCAGGGGTGGGAGAAGGACAACCCAAGAGCTGAGTAGGAATTCTCTGTGCTGCTCCAGACGGATTTTGGTCACCAAATGCAAATGAGAGCTCTGCAACTTGCCCACCAAAACTTTCCTGTCAGACAACAGCGAGACACAACCTCCCCTCCTCCCATTTCTTCTGTGGGATTCACCAAAGGAAAGAGGTTTATGGGCAAAGGTCCCGTTGCTGTAACACCCCTTCTCTCCAGGCAGCAGGACCAGGGAACAGCATCCCCCCTGGGGAAAACAAAACTGCCACAAACTAAGACACTCCCAACTTTTTCAAGCTTATAAAAATCACTCCATTCTTTCTCCCACTCGGTGCCCACTCAGCTTTTCTCACTCTCGGGACAGAAAAAAAGACCTCCAATCTCTCTTCAAATTTTAAACCTCGTCACAATAAGAACCAGACCAAGACTGCCAAGGAACAAATGTAGGAGTGTGTGCAGGAGACACCTCTGCAGTTCACAGCTGCCTGGCTGCTCCAGCTCTTTAACTGATCCACAACTGCTCTGCAAATCATTGTTTTTATTTCATCTCCCGTGACAGCATTTAATTATCCACACAGTTTTGGAAAGCTACTACATAAACAACTGCTCCTTGTACCTCCTGTTTATAACCACTAAGTTGTTTTCCCCGTGACTATTTGAAATTCTTTTATTAAAGGCAGATTGTTGTTTACCAAATCTTGAATGTTGTAAAGATAAAGCAATTCAGAGAGTTATTATGAAAAAACTTTTTAAAGTGCTTCTGAAAGAAAAGTCTCGGTTTGGACTCTTCATCTGTTTACTGAAAGCACTAGATATCATACAATATTATTTGAGTGACTCTGTTATGCAAAAAAAAAAAATCAATTATTATAATTTAGACTTGAATGACTAAAACATAAAACATTTAAAGTCAAATTATTTAAATTTATCACTGAATTTTTCTTACTCTCATGAAAATTTCCCTTTCCAAGCACAAGTCCTAGGCAGGAAAAGAGAAATCCAAAACTTCCTTCTTGGTGAGAGTTCATGATCTTACAAACAGCTGTTATTCCCTAAAGTTGAGACATCTCAGAAGCTCTTCATGTTTTGGACAGACTCCACTCTTCCACTTGGATTTGCAGCAGCAGATTCCTGGGGCCTGTGCTCCTAAACAAGTGAGTCCAACACCCCACCAAAGCTCTGGCCGTGGAACTGAGTCCCAGTGACAGCCCAGCCTGAGGAACAACGTTTGAAGCCAAAGCAGCTCATTCCCTGACCAGGTTATCCCAAAACCAGCCCCATGTCACCACAGCCCCGCTGACAGGCACAGAAACTGCTTCAGTAACCTCCTTGTTTTCTGTTTAGATGGAAAAGTCCTTTATATATTTCCAGGAAACTAATTCCAACTATCAAATATTTCAGTATTGTGGTCTGTTTATACCATAAAAGCAAAATAACCTTATTCCTTCTACCTTGCACGAAGCAGTGAACACAAACAGTGTCCTTTGTCCAGGGAATCAATGGACATAAATGCCTCGTTCTGGCAGAATTTGATGTTCAATATGTTGTCAATACTGATGGTTTGAACTCTAAAAATGCACTGAAAAGAGCACGACAGCACTATCAGCAGTAAAACGTGTAGCACTTACACAATTTACATCACTTGGAGCTATTATCTGATAAGTCACTACAAGCCTTTCAATGTGCTTTTAATACAGAACAAGTATGATTTACACACATTACAAGAGAATTCCAGAGCCTGCAGTGGAAAGGAGTAGAAAAGGAGATGATTTCCCAAATTCTTGCAGGGCCTGAGAGCAGGAGCAGATTTCCCCTCCTTTCAGTCACCACCTACTTCATTCCCCTGAATGAGTCACACAAGGTCCTCCTTTTGCCACCTCCAAACTCAGCTTTGTGCCTCCTCACATCCCCCTGCAGAATCTTTGTTTTCCAGGCATTTTTAATGGGAGAGGGCACTGGAATGAGGGTCCCTCAGTGCTGCTGTAGCGGGGCAGCCCCTCCCCAGCCCTGTGGCTGCAGTGCTGTCACACACTCTGCTCCCCCTGCTTTATCACTGTGATGCTGCTGCTGTTGGCACGATAGAAAACAGAGCTCTGGCAGCCACATCTCAGATTTAATTCCACTTGAAAGTCACTGCACTGGAGGCTCCAGCACCTCCAGCTCCGTGCCCAGTTCTGGGCCCATCACAAGGACATGGAGGGGCTGGAGCGTGTGCAGGGAAGGGAACGGAGCTGGGAAGGGGCTGAAGCAGCAGGAGGGGTTGAGGGAGCTGGGGGGGCTCAGCCTGGAGAAAAGGAGGCTCAGGGGGGACCTTCTGGCTCTGCAAGTCCCTGACAGGAGGGGGGAGCCGGGGGGCGTCGGGCTCTGCTCCCAGGGAACAAGGGACAGGAGGAGAGGGAACGGCCTCCAGCTGTGCCAGGGGAGGGTCAGGTTGGACATCAGGAGGAATTTCCTCACAGAAGGGGCTGTTAAACACCAGGAGGGGCTGCCCAGGGAGGTGGGGGAGTCCCCATCCCTGGAGGTGTCCAAGGAAGGACTGGACGTGGCACTCAGGGATCAGTCACAGGTTGGACTCAATGATGTTTTTCCAACCTTAATTCCGTGATTCTGTGAAATTTTGGACTGGGCAAAAAACGTGCCACAGTGACCCCGTTCTCTGCTTGCTGTGCTCTGCCCCACTACTCTGCACTCAGCCTCTCCATACACTTAAATGCTTTTCCATACCACTGCCACTGGAAGAAGGATTATGTTGTTGCAACCAAGATGTCAGATCTAAACAAGCTACATCAATTTACGACAGACACAGAAGCCACCGCCTGCAACTCCCCTCAAATAAAATGACACTTAAGTCCCATATACTGCATTTGAAATATTAAATTAACTACATTTCACAAAGAGAAAGGCATATATTATTGAAGCTTTGCGGGGTAAGTAGAAATATTACCCATTCCTTCATTCCAAACAGGTGCCTGATAAAAAATTAATGCCAGTGGAATGGCTCAGTGCAGCACTTGAGAGCCATCTCCTCAATTATACATGATCCCGAGCTACCTGCCTGGAACACACCCAGAGACACTCAGGGCTCCTGTCTGTGATTTCACAGGCTCTGCTGCCAAAGAAACAGTCCCACTCACAGGCTGGAGTTTGCAACGGTGCTCAGAACAAAGCCATGAGTGAAAAAAATGATATATGATAACCCAGGAGCAAACAGTGGAGGTGGGGAGACAAGGCACAACCAGAGCACACCTGACAAATACAATATTCCACGTACTTGAGACAAATTTTATCACCAAGTCACCAGAAGGCCTAAAGGCCACCAGGGTCAAAATTTATTGCAAGAAACCAGGACCTGATCCTTATAATTAATTTGGGTTTACTTTTAATTCCTATTATTAGTCCAGAATTGGTGAACTTTAGTTGTTTCATCTAAGACATGAGGTGAAAAGAGAGGTAAAACTCATACAGCTTAATAAAACCCCTTGTATGTTTTCAGCCAAACATTTCAGACAAACTAGGTTTTGTCATAGCAACAATACAATGCTGAAAAGAAATTCATATACACTGGACATAGTCAATCCAAAAAGGATCACAACAGATAAAGTTGTGATCATTTTAAGGCTACAAATTCTGGAGACACTAAGGACAATCCCCATTGCATAAAGCTTTTAATCACATAAACTTATCATTGGCACTTTGACCTGCTTGCCCCTTCCTGCCTTGTAATACTCTCTCACTTGTTGTAATTTTCCCCAGTTTACACCCAAATTTTGCAACATGACCAAGGTGGGCAGTTCTGACCTTGCAGATTTACCTGGGGGGCCTTGGAGTTCACCTGACTCTCTCTATAGGTGGCTTATTCCATCAACTCTTACCTTATGCCAGAGTTGGGGGGGTTTATTATCATCATTATTACCCTTGGAACTAGGATTTATTCTATTTTTACAGTGCACCTGAGGTCTCACAAAAATCTAAGCCATGATGTTGACTACAGGTCACAGAATCCCGGGATCAACCAGGCTGGAAAAGCCCTCTGAGATCATCGAGTCCACCCTGTGACCCAACCCCGCCGTGTCACCCAGCCCATGGCACTGATGCCACATCCAGAGTGTCCCTAAACACCCCCAGGGACGGGGACTCCACCCCCTCCTGGGCAGCCCCTTCCAGTGTCCGATCACTCTCTCTGGGAAGAACTTCCCGATGTCCAACCTGAACCTCCCCTGGTGCACCTCAAGGCTGTGCCCTCCTGGCAAGTTCAGCTTTTTGCATTTTCTCTGCACATCACCGGCAGCAGCAAAGTTCAAACTCACACCATTTCCCCCCCTCCCCAGAGCTCTTAAACCACAGACTGTGACAAAAGCACAAGTCAAAGCCTCAACGACAAGTTCCCTTTGGACTGGAGGAACCCAAAACTGAGGCGAGGGCGACTCACTGTGCAGCTCTCGATGGATGACGTCCACCAGGTTGGGCTCGTCCCCCCACCAGAATATCCAGAGCTCCTTGCAGTCGGGTTTGACGTCGCGGCGCCACACGCACAGCAGGTTGGCCTGCAGGCAGCGGATGAAGCTGAGCAGGATGGGATCATCCTGGGCCGGCGCTGAGATGATGGGGCCACAGTCCCCGTGGCCTTCAAAGTTGTACCTACGCCATTTGATGCCCGTCAGTTCAGCCTGGGGGGGGGAGAAAAGGAGAAAAAAAATCGCTTTATTTCAAAATTTTGTTATTATTTGCTTTGTTTGCATTGGTTAATTCTTATTAATTTTAATTTATTTTCATTTATTATATATATTTTAGACTATTATGTGGTTTATATTTATTTTCTATCATTATTAGCATATTGTATGCAATTATTATATTAATTATACTATATAATATGCATTACATGTTATATATAATATATCAATAGGCTAATAATATATAAAATATTAATGTACTAGTAATATATAATATATATTAACAGTACATAGCATTATATAGTAATAACATATTAATATAATTAATTCTATCATTGTAATAATAACATATTAATATAATTAATCATATTATTGTAATAATAACATATTAATATAATTAATTCTATCATTGTAATAATAATATGTTAATATAATTAATTCTATTATTGCAGTAATGATATGTTAATATAAGCAATTACTAATTATTTATATTGATCATTAATAATGGATCATTACTTATATTAGACTTATTAATTATTAATAAAAATGTTTGTATTATGCATAACACATTTAATTATTATAGAACTAATATGTTCACGTAATTATATATTAATATGTTAAATACATAGAAATATATTATTTATAATTAGTTATATATAACTGTTGTATTTATTATTATATTATATATTATTTTATATTATTATAAATGAATATTATTTTTATTTAAATTTAATTAATCTAACTTAAGTCAGCTCTTCTATTATTATTATTGTTGTTATTGTTCTCTTAACTCCTTCTACACCATATTTTCCTTTATTCCCCTTCAAGGAAAAAAACAGTAGAGACAGTACAGAAGAAACCTGGCTGCATTTAGGTTTTTCACCACAACTTGTCTCGTTTCCAGCAGATTCATTCATTTTGTTATCTTATTGTAAGGTTACAAATTAGAAAGGGAGCAACCAAACAAACAGAGGCTCGTTCCCCACGTGTCCTCCCACGGTGGTGTGAGCTCAGTGTCAGCCCAAAAACCGGCCCCTTGAAAGCCCCAAGCAGAGAAAACAAGTGGCTCCCGGAAGAAGGTGAAACCCTTTCCCGTTGGGATGGTACAGATTTGGAACCCAGGGAGTCGGGAGAGGTTTTCTCTGGGCACTGAACAGGCTCCCCGGGGTTTGGTCACGGCCCCAAGGCTGCAGAGCTCAGGGAGTGTTTGGACAACACTCTCAGGGACAGGGGGGATTGTTGGGGTGTCTGGGCAGGGCCAGGAGCTGGACTGGATGATCCCTGTGGGTCCCTTCCAGCTCAGGATATTCCATGGATCTGTGACTGTCCTCCCCTCCCAGTTTGCCCTGTGACTGGTGCTGCCTCCTCCTTTCTCTCCCCCCTCTGCTGCCCGGGACACGCTGGGAACGCCCCAGCGCAGTCTGGCTGGAGCTGCTCTCACAATAAGTGGTGTGTGCACACTGGGCTCACACTGGGCTTGTACTCTGCTCTCCAAGCTGTGTTTCCACATTCCCAGTGCTGTTATTCCCTGCACTGCCTCATTTCCAGCGTTCACACCTTGCCCTGGCTGCTCGGGAGCCGGGCTCTGGAGTGGCCCTGCAGGAAGCACCAGCTGGTCAGAGCTGCACAAACCCCACTGCAGCATCCACACCTCTGACAGGAGGAGATATTGCCAGGGAGAAGGGAACACCAGCTGTGGGATTGGATTTTTAGTCCTAAAGAAAACCAAAGACTTGCAGAGCATTTATTCCTCCCATACTCATCATCTGCACAAAGACATTCAACCCCTCCTCTAGAACCCAATCCCCACAGCACAAACAGAAGGATTTCCCTTTTCCAGTCCACAAACTCAGTTCATTTATAAGTTTGAACTCTAAAATGCACTTTTCTCCCCCCCAATAACTGGCAGTAGGCTGGTACTTGCTGGTTAACTGGAGGGGCTGAAGATGACATTCATCAGAGCAACACCACAAGAAAAAACATACTTGTATTTCTCTGATCTTATAAATGCATCCTCTGAAACAGTCCCACCTCATCCCATGGATATGCCTGGCAGGGCAGGGATCTGGTTCCTGTGACTGTGCCTCAAGGACTATTTCCCCAAACACTGATAACCCACAGGGCCTTTTTTGCTCCCAAGGGGCCTCACCAGGAACACAGGAACACAGTAACCAGCCTCCACTGGGAAGGGGAAAACTCTGGAGGACAGTGAAGAGCAGGGAGATTGGTTTGACTGTTTGCAGACCCCTAAACCACCAGGCACCTTCAGCTGCACAACCATCCTGTATCCTGCATCCTGCCAGGACCCCACCAGCAGTGGAATCACAGCCAGTCCTGGATTATCCCTGCTGGAGGCTTCCCACAGCCAGCACTGCTGCTCCCGCACTCACACGGGAATGCTCAGCCATCCAAAGGGTTGGGGAACTATGGAAAAGAAAATCAGGACAGACAGTCCCGACTGGGCGAGGTGCAAAGCCATGTGCCACACTCCTGGCACAAAGAGGGCACGGGAGCACAGGAGGAAGAGGCAAAGGGAAGGATAAATTCTCTTTCCCCAGCAGGATGCTGTGTGGAGCTGGAATGCCTCACACATAACACAGTCTTGTAAGAGAAAGCACTTACACGTGCTCCTCCAAAACATCTACATCTGTTCTACGTGTGCCTCAGCTACAGCTTGGAAAAGGAAGGTGCACAGTTTGTCAAACACTGTAATGAACATAACAACAATCAAGAAACACCAAAAATTGGTGCCAGCACAGGCAACCTGGGAAAAAAATACGCTGAATGTTCACGTCATAACCAACTGGGAACACGTGGTAAGTCACCAAGAATATGGAACAGGAAGATGACAAAAACCCAAACCAGAAAAACCCAGCTGAACAAAGGATGTCACCCAACAGCTTGATCCACACAGCAGAACCCAGAGCTCAGCTGTTCCCAGCAGCACAGCAGCTCCTGCAGCTTCCTGCCCGCTCCGAGCCGTCACCCCAACAGCCCGTTGGAGAGGGAGGAAACAGGGGCAAGAGAAGCACAGAGAAATCAGCAGAGCTGCATCCAAGTTAGTTCTACCCTACCCAGCTTCTGGAGCGTCTGATTCCATGGACTGTGAGGAAAGACCAGAGCCAACCTGGACCACCAGTGCCCACCCACATGGCAAGTGACTCCTGAGAACGGGACGAGGAGTCCCGGGGGTTTGGACTCTGCAGCAGCATAAAATATCACACATGGTTTCCCAAACTTGCAGGGATGCAGTTCAGCACTGTATTTGGATATGTCTGCTTCTGCTTCAGTTTTTAATAGATAAACATCAATACTAATCCCTCAGAACTTCTAGATTGTGTCCCCACGTTAATAAAACTGAATTCAGGAGGAGACTTGGACACAGAAGGAATCCAAAGAGAGGACTGCACCCAGAGCACTTACACACCTTCTACACCTCTGCAGCTGTTCTAGGGACATTTAACACACTATAGGGAGAATATCCTCATCCACATGGAGTTTTCTTGGAAGTAATTTCTTTAAACCAACAAACATGCCCAGTTTGAAGAGGCCTCCATCTGCAGCACCCTCAGTGGGCAGTGGGTGAATGGAATCAGTTCACCGACTTAAAGATGAGAAACAGAGAGAAAGACAAACATTTGTGTGCTCAGCACCCGAGGGCTCACCCTGCAGCCACGGAATCCCTGAGCAGACACTGGAGTGGGATTCCCTGCCAGGGACAGCTCCAATCAGATAAACCCCAGCATTCCCCTGCACACAGACTGGCAGCCAACACCTTCAACCACCCCAGCACACGCTGGGGCCAGGGCAGAGCTGCCCTCCCTGCCTCCCTCAGCTGCTGCACAGATTCATTCAGAGCCCAGCTGACTCAAAAGCAGAAGTGCTGCATTAAACGACTTTTTCCCCTACTCAGATCAGTCCCCACACCTGATTCATCCAACAGCCACCGAGACGCTTTACCAGTAAGTGTGAGGACAGCAAAGCAGGTCAGGGAAGGCAGAGCTGCTCCCAGTAGTAAGGACTGGTTTTAAAGCAGCCTGAAATACTCACTGAGGCAAAACCCAAGATTGCCAACCCAAGGACAAAGCTGTGAACATGCTGTTTAGCTCACAACTGGTCAGAGATGAATGCAGAACAAAGCAGAACTCTTGCCAGGTGATGTAATCTGTGTTCCTTGCATCCCTTCCCATATGCACAGTCCTGGCTTATTACAGTTGCTAAGATGTTCTTAACACTAAAAAGCCTGACAAAAAAAAAAAGGAACTTACAAATGCTTACTATTAACCAACACCGTTAGCAAATCATGCATTAAATGAGATTTTTGCTTTGGTTTACAAGGGAATGTGTGTCTTGGAGGGCTGTGCTGTGAAGGGTTCAACTTCTCAGATAAGAGGGGCTTTTTTTTTTAAATGGGAGTTTTTTTTCTAAATTCATCTCACTGCAGTTGGACATGGAATACAGTGTTTGTGAGACGCCAGTTCTGAATGCACTGAGCCAAGTGTGTAAGGAACCAGAGAAATCTGATCCCTAACAGTAATATCCAAACCCTTCACTCACATCCAACTTCTTACAGAACAATTCCCAAGACACCAGAAGATCTGTTACTGATGTATCCAAAAAAGCAGCTGTCAGGGTGGAAGAATGTGTTCAAACCCCAAATTCCACACAGGCATCCAAACCCACCCAAAACATCCCTGAGAAAGAGGCATTAATGAAAACAGGGCCATGTAATGTCTTCATTCAGAAACAGGGCCACGGAGAGAACATCACACAGTCCCTTGGACAGGAGCACAAACCCCCTCGGACAGGAGCACAAACCCCCTTAGACAGGAGCACAAACCCCCTCGGACAGGAGCACAAACCCCCTCGGACAGGAGCACAAACCCCCTCGGACAGGAGCACAAACCCCCTCGGACAGGAGCACAAACCCCCTCGGACAGGAGCACAAACTGGGCTTTCCTTCCCCCTCAGTGACCCTCCTCACACTGTGCACAGTG